AGTAGTTAAGAGTTACAGCTGCTAACCAAAAAGTTGGCAGTTCGAATCTACCAGCTGCTCCTTGGAAACCCTATGGGGCAGTTCTACTCCGTCCTTTAGGGTTGCTATGAGTTGGAATTGACTCGATGGCAATGGGTTGGGTTGGGTTTGGTTATTGACCACCTAGTTTTATATTTCAGCTCTGCTACTTGATAACTGTATAATATTTTGGGAAAATTACTTGACTTCTCTGTGCCAGTTTCCTTATCTACAAAAGTACAAACTGTGAGGTTTAAGTGAGGTAAAATATGTAAAGCATTTAGGGTAGAGCACGGCACATAAGTGTTCGATGAATATTAGCTATTATTATTATTGGTAGGAGAAAACACTTACTCTGCCCTACCATGTTTCCAAAGAGGAGAAAAATTTCTACTCCATTTCCCAGGAGAAACAGTCACGAAGAGAACACTTTCACTTTCTCTGTATCCTTTACTCACTCCTCCTCAGGGGTGGCAGATGACTTACCTGATTATTGAATTTGGGAAATAAAACTGAGTGTAACTGCCTCAGGGGAGAACCTGTCTAAAGCACAAATACAGACTCTGCTGTCAGCTTGGAGGATCTGGATTTGTCCCTGTAAGGGGAAGACCCCAGTTTTGTTATTTTTCAGGGGAGGGTTCAATTCAGGAAGAAGTACACGCAAGCTCTTTTAGTTGTAGAATTTAAGCGACATTCGCCAATTTTATCAGTAATAAGGCCAACATTTTGATCTCCATTTGTCTATCACCTATCTTATTTCTAAACTGAGAAAAGAAGAAACAGGCATTAGTTACTGGCCTCCCCAAAACTTTAACAACTAATAATATATGGCTATACAGTTAAGGTCCCTTGGTGGTGCACACAGTTTGTGCTCAGCTATACATCGAAAGGTTAGTAGTTCAAATCCACCCAGCAGCGCTGCGGAAGAAAGTCCTGGCAATCTACTTCTGTAAAGATTGTTTTTGCTGTTGTTTTGTGCTGTCAAGTCAATTCCAACTCATAGCAACCCCATAGGACAGAGCAGAATTGCCCCATATGGTTTCCTAAGTTGTAATGATTAAAATCAAGAAAGGTGTACAACAGGATTGTATCTTTTCACCATACTTATTCAATCTGTACGCTTAGCAAATAATCAGAGAAGCTGGACTATATGAAGAAGAACACAGCATCAGGATGGGAATACTCATTAACAACCTGCGATATGCAGATGACACAACCTTGCTCGCTGAAATTGAAGAGGACTTGAAGCACTTACTGATGAAGATCAAAGACTACAGCTTTCAGTATGGATTACATCTCAACATAAAGAAAACTAAAATCCTCACAACTTGACCAATAAGCAACATCATGAAAATGAAGAAAAGGCTGAAGTTGTCAAGCATTTCACTTTACTTGGATCCGCAATCAACACCCATGGAAGCAGCAGTCAAGAAATCAACCAACATATTGCACCGGGCAGATCTGCTGCAAAAGACCTCTTTAAAGTGTTAAAAAGCAATTATGTCACTTTGAGGACTAAGGTGTACCTGACCCAAGCCATAGTATCTTCTATTGCCTCATATGCATGTGAAAGCTGGACAATGAATAAGGAAGACCAAAGAAGAACTGATGCCTCTGAATTATGGTGTTGGCAAAGAATATTGAATATACCATGGACTACCAGAAGAACGAACAAATCTGTCTTGGAAGAAGTATAGCCAGAATGCTTCCCAGAAGCAAAGATGGTGAGATTTTGACTCATGCACTTTGGGCATGTTATCAGGAGGGACCAGTCCCTGGAGAAGGACATCATGCTTGGTAAAGTAGAGGGTCAGCGAAAAAGAGGAAGACCCTCAATGAGATGGATTGACACAGTGGCTGCAACAATGGAATCAAACATAGCAACAATTGTGAGGATGGCACAGGACCCGGTAGAGTTTTGTTCTGCTGTACATAAGTTCACTATGAGTTGGAATCGACTTGATGACACCTAACAACAACAGCAGCAAAGATTACAGCCACTGAAAACCCTATGGAGCGCAGTTCTACTCTGAAACATATGGGGTTGCCATGAGTCAGAATCAACTTGACAGCTATGGGTTTGGTTGTTTTGGTTCTTAGGAGGATTAAGTATGATAATAGATATAAAATTCTCAGAACAGTGCTTGATACACAGCAATGCTCAACAGCTATTAACTCTTAATACTATTATTATTACTATGTGCTATGAATTACGTTAGACAGTAGCTAATTACCAGTTGCAGGAGGAACTTAATCCCTCATCAGTGACAGGATGGCTAACCCTATAAATTGGACATTACAAACAACAGTAGCCTCACAGTTCTCATTAAATCACAAACAATTTTTCTAAGCAAGTTTCATGTCCCAGGAACTGTGGTAGGCACTGGTGATTCAAAATTGCAATGGAAATTTGTCCTTAAGAAGTTTACAGACTAGAAGGGAAGAAAGACAAGCCTAATTACAAAGTGGTATATCTTATTTCAAAGGCATCCACAGGGTATTGATAATACTGTAGGCTCTCAGAAGATGAGGCTTTTAAAAAGAAAGAAAAAAAAGCCTGTCAGAGCTTGAACTGAGTTTTGAGTAAGTTAGCTAGAATAGCTTCCATTTTGCCAAATCCCATAGGCAATTTTCAGCCCTCATCTTAGGAGTCCCTAAGGTGGCGCAAACTGTTAAGTACTTGACTGCTAACCTAAAGGTTGGACATGTAAGTCTACTCAGAGGTGCCTCAGAATAAAGGCCTGGAGATCTACTTCTCAAAAATCACCACTGAAAACTTATGGAACACAATTCTACTCTGACACATGGGGTTGCCATGAGTCGGAGTCGACTCCATGGCAACTGGTAAAATAGCTATAAAAATAGAGAAAATTTAAAATGATACCACTTCACAAAATCATCAAAACCTACTGACATAATATCGGCAGAATCCAGTCCTCATCTTATTTGACCACTCCCTCCCCTTTAAAAAAAAAAAAAAACTCGTTCTTTGGCTTCTTAGAGTCTGTAAGAGATAAAACTTTGTTTTCCTTACATATCTCTCACCACTCCTTCTCAGTCATCTTTCCCAGTGCATCCTCTTCTAACTGGCCTTTAAAAGTTATAGGTCCTCAAGGCTTGGTTATTAAGCCTCCTTTTTTCTCACTTTACACCCTTATCTTATCTACACTCATGAATTTAATGACTATTTGCTATTGCCTCCCATATTTACATCTCTAGCCCCGTTCTCTCCTCTGAACTACAGACTCATATATCCAACTGCCTATTAAGATCTACACATGTAGGTCTCAAAGACATTCAAATTCAGCACGACCAAATTGTAACTCATGATCTGCTTCCACCAAACCTGGTCTTCCTCCAGTGTTGCTTAGCTCTTTCAGTGCCTGGCACCTTTACCCATCCACTTACTTCATCTAAGCCAGAAACCCAGAAGTCATCCTTAATGCCTCCTTTTTCCTTATACCCCAAATTCAAATCATCACCAAGTCCTAACGATTTTACCTCTTAAAACTTCTTACTACCACTTCCCTGGTCCAAAATATCAGTATCTCTTATCTGCTGTACTGCAAGATCCTTCTCACTAGTCTTCCTACATATATTCTTACCTCTTTTACAATCAGTCCTTACTGCAGCCAGAGTGAAATTATTACATCACAAATCTAATTATATCACTGCATGCTAAAAACCTTCAACACCAGTCCAGTATTCTTAGCATAAAATCCTTAACAAAGTTCTATATGATGTGTCTCTGCCTATCTCTCTAGCCTCATCTAATATCATTCTCCCCCATCACTATGACCCTCTTTCAGTTCCTGAAACTCAACAGGCCTGCTTATACTTCATGGTCTTCCAACATGTGGCCTTCTACCTGGAATGCTCTCTCTACTCAGCCCCACCCACTTCACACAGTTCACTTGTACTCATCCTCTGGATGTCACATTATAAGTCAAATCCTCTAGAAGGCTTTTCTTGAGCCTCTGTAGTAGCTAAGGCCCTTATTACATGATTGATTTTATAGTATTTACCACTATTCATTTTATAAGTACTAAGTACTGTTAGATTACTTAATCAGTGTTTGTCTCTTCCATATGCTCCATGAGGGCAAGAAAGCATCCATTTGCTTACTGCATCCTCAGCCCCATAGAGTACAGTGGGTGGCATATAGCAGGTGCTCAACAAATAGCTGTTGAGTGAATGAGGTATTCTAAGCAATAATATTGGAGACAACTAGGAAGTAACGTGATCACTAAGAGTAAATAATGTATATATAGGCTTCAGAATTTTTTACATAAATCATCATGAAAGAGTAGAAAGTGCATAGGTTTTAGAAGTAGGCAGACCTGAAATCTCAGCTCAGCTACTTTCTAGACGTATGATTCTGTGAAGCTTATCCTTCTCCATCTGTTCTCTTATGCATAAAATGGAGAGGACAAAACTCACCTCACTGGTTTGTTGCCAGCTAGTATTAAACGTGATAAAGAACATGATCACCTGGTATAGCACCATACATAGTAGGTACTTGGTAAATATGGATTCTCTTCCCTCTCCTTTCTCTAATCACCTTTAGACATAGAGACACTGCTGATAATAATGCACCTTGCTAGACTCATGGTTTCTCAAATTTACTGAAAGCTGCAGAAGATATCTTAAACATTTAATAAAACTGCATTGCATTTATCAAAATTCACCATTTTTTCTTAACCTCCAAAGAATTACACAGAATAAAAGAGAAAAGATAGTTCAGATTTTCCTTTAGGAAAGTTAATCTATTTTAGAAAAGATGAATTTGGGTGGTTATGTGCCTTACAAAACAAATTTTCACTTTAAAAAGCATTCACCATAAGCTGCACTAAACAACAAACTTACAATGGTACTTAAAACATGATCCTAATTACACAGAGCTTTTCAGGATTATATCTACCTTGTACATCAAGGCACACTTGCACTAAATAAAACTCACAGCATTATGAAAATCCTCTTACCTTATGTTCAAATGGAGCACCATAGTAGCCATCATTCAGCCCAAAAATTATTTCATTTTGGTTGCGGGCATGAATCTAAAAGAGGGGAAAAGCACACTATTAGTTCTTCTCATTCCAATCAAGTTTTAATATGATCAGAACATGACAAAACAGGATCGACTTCAATGCTGAGAAACAGGCTGACTACATCTAAACAACGGAAAACAAGTCACTTAGGGTAAGATCAGCTGATCAATCGAGTTTCCTCCTTTAGTCAAAGTTCTCACAAAACTATCAAATAAGCTCACAAGCACTATTATTTATACACGTTTTCCACAAACACTTCTTGAGCTTTTTATGGAAAGAAAGGCTGTTCCTCAGCTGAAACTGGCTTTTTGGTGAATTCCTGAAGTAGAGGAGATTCAGAGGCATAAAGTACATTCCCTGATCTCAGAAAGACCAAAATCCAGTCTGTAAAAGTGCTTTAAAAAGTATGAAGCCCTAGAAAAAATAAATAAAAATAATAAAATAATCATAATAAATAAAATAAAAGTATTTGTTTTCATTTTCAAACAGATAGTTTAAAGATAATAATATTCAATTCTTAAAGTCTCAAACGTGGGCTTAATTATTGTCTGCATACCTCTCTCTTTCAGATGCAACTGATCTAAGCTTCAGTCAGTGCTATCTCAAATTAAACTTCACCTAAAAAGTGACGAAGGTTCAAGGAGGAGGAAGATGTCTTCTTTCTAGCCGGAGTCAGCAGCAGTAAATTCCTATTCACTCCACAGCAAAGATCCAAAAAACTAAGCCAAACAGAGAAAACGTCAATCCTGAAACCCTAAGCATCAAATGAAGAGATAAAGAACTCAGCCCAGCACCGAATGGAATAAGAAACTGACAGAGAACAGAGAGTGAGGAGAGATACATGCAGAGGGCCCCTATCAGCTAATGCAGCATGGATCCGCCATCTTGGACTCCTACTAGAGATCAGTGAACAGGGGGTATGGGAAAGCAGCTTCGCAGAGCTTCCAGCAGTAGACAGAACAATCAGTAACCAGAAATATACTCTTTCCCACCTGCCACCCTTATTCACACCCACTTGGCCTCCTCTGCTTCCTGCAGGCACAGTCTCTTAGCCACGGAACACTGGCTTCACCCCAGCGCTGCTTAGATTCCATTCGCCCGCACTGGCCAGCTCCCTGAGTGCCATTTGTTGCTGCTGGTGTTGCTTTTATCCGCTTCGATTTTGTCCATACCTCTCACCACCTCCCTCTCCTTTCTCTCAAATACCTGGCTCCGTGCGCCATCTTTGCTTCTTCTCGAGAGGCTGTGAAGCGCCACTTGAGTGTGGGGCTGCTTCCCAGCCCATGCTGCCAGGCTGGTGGGATCCCGGAGTTTTTGTTTGTTTTGAATTGTTTCTTTGTTTTCTTTTTCTCTTCTCAAATTGGGAGCCCATTTGAGCAGGGCAGTACTGTACACAGCTTGGGACCTACCCCTGCCCCCTTTGGGAAGATACGCAGAGGGATTCCTAAGGGTATTTCTTTTTTCTTGGGTTTTTTTTTTCTTTTTTGGGGGGAGTTTTCTTGTTTATTTCTTCTTTGCTTATTTGTTTTCTTTTCTCTCTTTTACCCTTTCTGTCTTTCTTCATTACTCAGTTTCTCATCTCTCTGAACTTACCTTCTCTTCCTGTCTCCTGAATACCTTGTACCAAGTGACACCTCTACCCTTTTGCCAGGCTGTACTTCAGGACTGTGAGCATCTTCCCCAGACCTTGCAGCCACACCGGTGGGATTACTGGGGGCTTTTCTTTTCTTTTTTCTTTCTACATTTTTATTTATTCATTTTTTTTCTTTTCTTTTTTTCTTCTTCTCCCTTTTGTTTTTCTCCATTTCTCAGTTTCTCATCTTTCCACTACAATGGCAAGCTCCCTTAGCACTCTTTTTTGTTTGATTGTATGTGTTTGGCTCTTGTTCCTCTCTCATCTCTCTTCTCTCTCCGATATCCATCTTACATCCACACATCACAATCTACCCCCTCCATCCTGCCTACCTCCACCATGCACTGAACATCTCACCCTACCAGAATCTGCCCTGCACTGATCACCAGCGCCCCCTGTTGGCCCTAGTACATGCCACAAACAACCCATCCCAGCAACTCCTCTTCAGCTAGACCTGCCCTGCTGTACCATATCTCAGCAACTGACCCTGTCAACTGGAGAAGGAGGTGAAAAGTATTGTGCTCACAGACGAGCAAACAACAAACAACACACAGCCTGCCTGCTCAAAAATAACCAAATAAAACAAAAAAGCAGGACAAAACAAACAAATCTACAATCAATAAACGAGGAAAATAACTACCAAATGCAACGAAGACAGCACACAATATCAAAACATTTACAAAAACAGGACAGGATGGTTCCAGCAAGTATCCAAAATAAAACACCAGATAACTTTCTAGAAGAAAAGGTACTAGAACTACCTGATAAGGAATTCAAATCTCTAATATTCAGAGCTATCCAAGGGTTGAAGCAAAGACCAGACAAAAATGAGGAAAAAACAGCCAAATTCATGGAAAATACAGACAAAAAAAAAGGAAGAATTCAGGAAAATAATGCAGGAACAAAATTATAAACTAAATTCACAATCATAAATCATACAAAAACAACAATTAGAAATCCAAAAGATAAACAACCAGATTTCAGAAATGGACAGTGTCACAGAAGGGCTGAGGAGCAGAACTGAAATGGTGGAAGACAGGATCAGCGAACTTGAAGACAAACACTTCGATACAACTCTGAGGAAAAATCAAAAAGAAGAATGAAGAAAATGAAAAGGCCCTGAGAATTACGTGGGATACAATCAAAAGCAAAAATGTGCAAGTGATCGGTGTTCCAGAACAGGGGTAGAAAACAGAAAACACAAAGAGGATCACTGAAGAAATGCTGACAGAAAACTTCCCCAAAATCATGAAAGATGAAAAGCTGGACATCCAAGAAGCTCAACAAACCCCATATAGGATAGACCTCAAAAGAAAATCACCAAGGCATATCAAAATCACACTCAAAAAAACCAAAGACAAACAAAGAATCCTGAGAGCAGCTCATGAAAAACAAGAAGTCACATACAGAGGAGAAACAATAAGACTAAGCTCAGAT